TTGCAGGGACCGACGGTAGCCTGGAGTGGTTCAAACTGTGTCTATTTAAGGCTGCAAAGGGTAAGTGCTCCAGCGCTGGAGATAACGCAGTGTTGCAGGTATCTCCTTGCAGGTCTTTGGCTGTCTGAACACAAGGACTCACCCCAGCACTGTATTCACCGGTGAGAGCAAGGCTCGGGGCTGAATTGCCTTCTCTCAATAGCACAATATCTCTGGTGTCAGCAGAAGATCAGGCAGGCTCAGAGCTGGCCATGGGCTGAGCTGACAAAAGGACCAAGTGATTGAAGTAGGACCCAACATAAAGCTTCCCACTGCCCTGTTCTGTTCTTCCCTTTCAGTCCCTGGATAAGCCGTTGTCTCTCCCTGCTGTCTGCCTGGCGCTGCCCCTGTAACCCATCCTTCTCCAGCCCTAGGAAGGACCCAGTTCAAAGGCTGCACCCCAGGCTCCGGGCTGGGGATGCTATTACAGTAATCAGAGAAACTGAGGTCAGCCAGCCTGTAAAACTGCCTGAGCCGGTCGCTGGGCGCTGCGCTTGCGAGCAGGCAGAAAGGTCGGGCTTTAGAGCGAGCAATGGAGTGAAAACTGCCTCTGTCACCTTGCAGCGCACAACTGGGGTTGCGTTTCTTTATTAACTTCTGATTTAATTAAGATGAGGTTTGCCAATAGGAGCAAACTGCTGTGAATGCCTCAGACAAAGGGTTAGGGACAGGCAGAGTGATGGCATAACCACAGAGCATGTGCCAGGTATTTTAAGGACACTCCTTTATAAAGCAGGCTGGTAGACATGGCTCTGATGTATCTTCTCCTTCGTGCTTACGGATCAGCCCTCCCAGCATCCAGAGATGCTGAAGTGGCAGAAGGGGCTGTGTGGCAGCAGCTCCCAGCCCTGACCCACCATGGGGCTGGGATATGAGGCTGTATCCCACACCCCCCCCCCCCCAAACCCTGTGGCCCCCTACATAATGGGACATAGTTTATCTTGGGAGGGACACCGAGGACATGTGCTCAGGCTCAGCAGAGTGACTGTCCAAGCCTTTATTAAGCCCAGTGCTGCAGCTTAAAATAGCCCCTTTGGCTGAAGCAGGGGCTGGAGTGGGTGCAAGCAGGCAGGGGGCTCATGTGGGGCCCAGCCAGCTCTAACCCAGCACTGGATGAGCTGCTCCTCTGCTCTGGCCAGGACTAATGTGACAGTCTCACAAGGCTGTTTTGTTAATTAGTTAATGACCGTGAAGTGCCTCCATGTTTGGAGCCATTGGATCGCTCAGCAGTTGGCTGTAAATGCCTGGCTGGGGCTAGAGGATACTGCAGGGGATTTAAAGATCTCATTTCTCTTTTCACCCTCGCAGGGGGGGGTCCGAGTGAAAAATGCTCCCTGTGCCATGGCAGGCGTTGAGCAAAGGGCTGCCCTGTGCAGGAGGTGGCTGGTTTGCAGGTCGGATATGGCCTGGGAGGTTAAGGGCAAGGCAGGATGCAGGCTGTGCAGCAGGGATGCAGGGATGCAGGGATGCTCCGAGCAGCAGGACCAGGGTTATGCAAGCGCGACATCTCCCTGCACAGATTTAGGGGCTGCTGTCAGCTCTGGCACCGCAGCTGCAGCAAATCCTCCCCTCCCGAGCCCATGGCCAGCAGGCAGAGGGAGTCCTTTCCCTGGAAGAAAATCTGTAGCGAAGGCAGCCAAAAGGAGATCCCTGAGCAGCCCTGCCAGGACCCCCATTGCTGCAGAGACGTTGATGCGCTCTGCTCTCTAAACCAGAGTCATCCTCACTCGCCATCCCCCATGCTCTTCAGGGAGAAGCCCTGGGGATGCTGGATGAGAGCAGCCCTCAGCAGGCAGATGAGCAGAGGTCGTGTCTGCAGCCCCCACCTCCTCCCCACCACACAGCCCGGCTCTGAAACACCATCTGGGGGCTCTTTCTCTCCCTTTCAGCAGATGGTTTAGGATTACTTTCCATTCAGTGGCCAGGACCCAGCTTGGCTGTCACCTGGGGATGAGATGTGATGATTTCCCAGAGGTTCACCCTGACAGGCGTGGTGCTAAGGTGCAGCTGCAGCATCTCTGTGGGTACCACAGTGCCAATTTGGGACCTGGGATGCTGCAAGAGGCTGGTGGGCGAATGGCAGAAGAATCAGGTAGAGGATGCTCTGAAACTGCAGGGCAACTAAGACCTGCTTGTCCCTACACGTATCAGATCCCCAGACCAGTAGAGAATCCCAGACTGGATTGGATTGGAAGGGACCTTAAAGCTCATCCAGTTCCGACCCCCTGCCATGGGCAGGGACACCTTCCACTAGAGCAGGTTGCTCTATTAGCAGGATTTGCCCAGGGTTTAAACGAGAGCAAGAAGTGGATCTGTGTCAGGGCATGGGGAGGTTGCTGAAGGCAGGATGCTGCCCTCAGAGCCTGCAGAACCTCAGTGCAAAGCCGAGCGTGTTGGTGAGCAGCATGGCTGCGCTCAGGCTCAGAAGCGCATCCTGCTTAGGAAAAGGCATTGGCAGGAATGGGGAAAAAGAAACTGGGCTGTGTTTCCTCAGGGAGCACCCTGTGTGTGGTTAACCCTGGGGTTTCAAAACCACGAGGCTCTGTCTGCACAGCTTAGCCATGAGAAGAAAACCGAGGCCTTATGATGATCCCATGACTGGAGTGAAACCAGCTGGTTGCTGCTGGTCGTGGTTGGCCCTGTCCTGCTGCTACAGCAAAGCCTGCACGCTGGCCAGGTTGGTAGCCTTTGCTTGCATAGCGTGTCCGTGTTAAACAATATGCTAACAACTGGCTTTTCTGGATGATTTTGAACAGAACGCTGTGGAATGGTCTTTGGCTGCATCAGCATCTTTCTGTGGTGGTGTGGAGCCAAGAAAAGACCAGAAAGTGCCCAGTAAACACTTTGCTGACAATAGCAGGGAAGAGGCATGAAAAGAAACCAACCTATCTGGTTTCGTGGATTCACCGTGCCTGATCAGCTCCAAAATCAGTAGGTTCCGGTTTGTAATGCTTGTTCCTGCCTCTTCTGAAACCTTCACGGTCAGGATGGGCACCACCAGAGACTGGATGCTAACAAACCCCTATTAACAAATGGCCTTTTCCTATCAGAAGGAACTTTGAGCTACTTCTTGTGGCACAAGCATAGCCCTGCTGCTGACAGCCAAGCAGCTTTATGTAGGTTTTCGCCTCCTAGTCCTCATTCAGATACACTCCTTCCTATTCTGTCACATGAAATGAAGCCCCCCAGCTTACCCCGAGCTCCCCCCCCAGCACAAACCGAAGCCATCACTGCAGTGGCCTGTGCAGTGACAGCAAATCCAAGCAGAGCAGCCTCCGGCCCTGTGCATCCCGCAGTGACTCGGGGACACTCAGTTAACCTTTTACGACAGACATCAGGCACTACCAGCACCAGTTCCTTAAAGCCAGCTCCTAATTAGTCACAGGCCAGGTGGACTTGCATAACCTCGTGCTTTCCCACACCCTTCCCCTCCACCAGCTGCCTAGATGGGAGAAGCCGATCTCGGATGCTGACTGTGCTCGGTGCAGGTACCGGTGCAGTGCGTGTGGGTGCAGTGAAAAGCCGTCTCGAGTATTTCGCATCCCTGCTCCTGCCTCCCTCCCTCCCCTGCGCCTGTGCTGAAGGAAAGGGAACCTGACAGTCGGAACTGCTTGATTTTAAATTGCCCTTTCCAGCGCCTGTCTCGCCTGCTGCAGCACAGCGAGAGACTCAAGCCGCGGTTACAGCAAAGAACAGGAAGGAAATTCAAGATGTTGTTCCCCTGTTGTCGGAGTCACGCTCCTCTGGTCCCTCTTCCCTCCCCATCCTCCAGCTGCGTGCTCCTCCTGGTGAACCGGCAGTGCTGCTCGCTGCGTGCTGGTTCAGGGAGTAACACCAGCAGAACGCTGGCATTAAGGGACAGATTGCTGCTGCTTTAGCTGAGCAGGCTCAAATCGGGCCGGACAACCTATTTGCCTGTGTTAAAGTGTCTGCATACAGCACAGGTAAGGGCAGCAAAGCCTTTTCCTCCAAACCCCCAGAGGGTCAATTCCCACGGTGAGCTGACCTCCCTTTGCTTCCCAGGGAAAGGATAACCTTATTTTTCTCCTGTGGTGAATCTGGTTTTGACTGTGTTTTCCCTTCTGAGGACTCGGGGTTTATTCTCTTGACAAGTTGATTTCTCGAGTTCATTGTGCCTCTGCTGCAGGGCATAGGAGATTTACTGTGACAAGAGAGATGCCGGGTAGGTAAAGCGATGATGTAATGCTGCAAGCTGCCCCATCAGGGAGAAAGATCCACCTGAAACTTCTCCAGATTCTGGGCTGATCATATGCAAACTCCAATTTATTTCTCTCCCTGTTTTGCATATCTCCATCTGCACCGCTTCTTGCACATCTCCATGGAGATGAAGAAACGAGGCTGGATAATGCTGTTCTGGCATCACCCAGCCACTAACACAGGTCCCAGCAAGTGCTGCATGATGGGGAACCAGCACCCATGGGGGAGATCCCAGTGGGGACCCCATCCAGCTGCTCCCACACAGGCCTGATCCTGATGCTTCCCACTGCACAGCAGCATCCTTCCCTAAGGAACAGGGTAAAACCCTGCTCGAGGGAGCAGCAACAGCAGCCAGGAGATTGCCCCAGTTCTGCAGGGAAGTGGGGTCAGAGAGCACTTCCACATCCTCATGCTGGAGGTTTTCACATTCCCAGCAGCAACTACTGACTTACATGTAAAATAATGCCAGCGTTCACGTGTCATCTAAGCTTTACTTGTTTTCCTTTACACCTAAAACCACTTCGTTTAGCCTCAAATGGCCAGTGCCACTTTAAATGTGTCTGAATTATTCCCTCTGTAACTAATATCCCTATATAGGCACCGCTCCATCTGCTCCAGTATTTCTCAGCTGTTTCTGTCCTCAACCTAATGGCCAGCTTATACACAGCTAACAACTTTGGAGCATGGAAGTGACAAATTAACCCAAAGCCTGCTGTAAGCACTGATGCTCCGAAGGATTTGTGATGATTTGGTGTTTTCTGTTTGCTTGTCACCCCAGTGATCACAGATATGTGTGTGGCAGCAGCCTCTCTCCATCATGGAAAGTTGGGACAAATACTCTGCCGGCATAAATCAATGCAGCTCTCTGGAGGTCAGTGAGATTACATTGAGTTACACCAGCTACAGGCTTTGCCCATCTTTCGGATAGGTTTGTGTCCTGTCCCTCTCTCTGTAAAGGTCTTCCAAGAGCATGTGTCAATGGCATTGAGAGAAGCCTTTCCTCCCAAACACCTTTATTTATAGCTTTCAGATGGTGACAGGTCTATAGAAAGAGAGTGGAGGAGCAGGCCTATTCCTGCTTGTGTTTGGGTAACTCCTTTCTCTGTATCAGTTAAATATCAATGAACCTCTTAGGGAAAAATCCTTGTTTCCATGATTTTCTAGCTAATAACTCCCTGACATAGCTGCAGTGCTCAATTCTGACTACCTGTTTCCAGCACTCAGCCTGTAGATACAACTTTTCCTTGGTCTCAAAGCATTCCAGCAAGGGAAGACTGTACCAAACCCTCATTCCAAACACAGGCAAACTCAGGTGCAGGGAAACAGAAGGATACAGCAGTGCTCTGCTGTACAGAGCAGCTCTCTGCCCAATCCTCCTTGTTTCAGTGGATGTGAGCTGTATTTCTATACAGTGGACTTCTCTGTTTTCCTTCGCAGCTGGTCGCTGAAGACAGGATTTCTAAATGAGCCTGAGAATTACACATGCAAATCCCATAGGCCTGGAATTGGGAACATCTGAGCAACAAATTGTCCTTGCTAAAGATGGTGCCGGAGCCAAAAAGCCTACAGATTTCGGGCCTGCTGTAAGTACTTTTAAAATCAAGCTAAGCTGGTCTGCTCCCTCGCTGAGCCTCACTGGTGCTGTTTGCCGGGTGCCAGTTTGCTTCTCAAGGCACTTTATGCTTGAGCAGAGAAGGGACACGGGGACAAAAGTGGGGGGGACACTGTCACGGCTACTCCTCACTTGCCTTTCGCTCTGGTCCACATCTTACAACACGTATGCGCTTTATATCTGAGATGCTGAACCCGTGTCCTTATCTGAGCTTACAGGCAGGAGGGAGGGAAGAAGGGCCAGGATGTGCGTGCAGATGCTCAGGTTGATGGCAGGGAGGCACTGCACTAAGTCAGTCTATCCTGCTCTGCAGCCCTACCCGGTGTTCCCTCAGCCCTCCTCATTGACCATCTTTTAAGCCACACAGAATGACCCTTGAGGGGCTGAGCCAGCATCCCTCTAACACCAAACACTCAGATGAGCAGATGGGAGAGTTCCTTAGGATCTGACCTTCCCGTCCTTCCTCCCTTGCCCCTGAGACCGGGCAGCATCAGCACCTCCAGCCCCCAAACCATCTGCCAGCCCAGGGCTCTGCGGTCAGGCTCATCCCCGTGGCTGGACAGACAGATCTCTGCTGCACCCAGCGCTGCCAGCACCGTGCACTGCAGAACTGCTGGGCTGTGCAGGCATCTGGACATCAGGTGCTGTTGCTGCTTTAACTACGAGCCAAATCCTGCACCAGCGTCTGGTGATCAAACTGGCAGAGGACTGGGGAGGAGATGACTTTTCTGTGGGGAGGTGACATTTTCACTTGACTCGCCCCTGTCTTATTCTTACTGTCTGACCAGTAACAGGGTGGTTTTCCTGTGCCAAACAGCCCCTCACTTCCCCCTATCTTATACATATACCTATCTTTCTCCTCTTATATTACCCCAAAAGTGGGTAATGTGAATTTTTCACCCTGTAAAGGGTTTAACTCTCAGTGGGTTAAATCCATCTTGTTCTGTCGCTGTAGGCTGCCTGCTGCCATAGGCAAGGCAAGCAGGATCCATCCCCTGATGTCAAATGTGTTCCCAAAGCTGCTGGGCCACCGAGCCCCCAGTGGTGGCCCACTGCAGCAGCAGCAGTGCCCGCTGGGGCCAGCAACGTGCCACAAGTGTCAGCCCTTGGGTTTCCCTGGGGCTTCTCAAGGAGCAGATTTACCCTGGGAGGGATGGGGAGGGATGCAGACGAGAGGAGCAGGGGGTCAGGGGGACCCTTTGTGTAAAGCGTGTATCAACACAGGGCTGCCTGCAGTACCAGGGCTGATCTGGGCTCCCAGGATCTCCAGTGCTGCTCAAAAGCTGTTGGGAAACGCAGGATTGCTTTTGGGTTCCTATCAGAGTAAGTGGGTTTTGGTTATGGCTTGGGCACATTTCCATTAGATGGGAAGAACACCCACTCCTTTTAAAGGGCAGGGACAAGCTCTCCTGTGTTTTAAACATAGGGTAAAGTCCTGTTAAGTTTCAGAAGAGCTGGGTTTTAAAATCAAACCAACTGCATTAGAATTTTCAGCTTAATCCAGTACTTCCACCCAGGCCATGGTCCTTCCCACAAGGCAAACGCACCCGCACGTGCTCGTGGAAATACTTACATTCCCTGCTCCCCGTAGTGATTGTAAAATTCCATGTGGCTGCAAGCCTGGATCCAGCCCACGATCCAGGTCTCCTTCTTGGGAATAGGGGGCACCAACACTTGTGCAGAGGCTCGGAAGTGAGGGGTCCGGTAGCGCAGGACCACGCTGGAGGACTCGTCGATGCTGGTGGGAATGGGATCGATGGAGGCTTTGACTTCAATCACTGAAATACTTTCCCGGAAAACTTTGGATTTGCAGCTAATACTCTGAATACAGCCCATGGCATACCCCGAGTACAGTCCGACGCAGCTCCTAGGGTACTCCAGCAATCCTGGGGAATATTAGGCATTGAAATTATCTGGTGCTAGATCAATTACAGATCTTCTTGGTTTGTAATCTCAAAACTGATATCCATAGGATAGAAAATTCATCACGTAAAGCCTTAATTTGAGTATCTGTCTTACAAGTACTGCTATTTTTGAGGCTAGCTGCACTTCAGAAGCAAAAAGGGCCTTTAAAATTGTTTTCCCCTTTTAATGACCCATTAAATGTATCACTCGAACAGTCTTTGGGTTAAAAAAAAAAAAAGGGCTCTTGAGTTCAATAAATAACGGTGGTGTTCTTAGCCGATATATTTAGTCCTTCCTTTCCTCAGATGCGGTCTGTCATTCACCGTCAAACATAGAACTAGCCGGTATTTCCCTTTATTCTTTGGATGAAAAGCAGACTGTTGATAGACACATCTATATAAATAATGAAATAGTTTTTAGCCCCGGCTTGTCACAACCGGTGTGGATTTCCACTTCCTGACTTGCAGTTGTTCAGAACTTCCTTTCGCACACAAAAAAAATCACAATAATAAACCCGAAAGAAACGACGGGTGGAAAACGCACGGAGTAGCCAAAGCCCCGGTGCTTGGAGGCTCCTCCGCCGGCGATGCGTTGGGGATTATTATTAACTATAATGCCCTTTCCTTAGAAATAGCCGGAGCCGCACGGACCGACCGGGGGTCCCGCTCCCGCAGCGGGGCCGCGCTCAGCACCGCGGAATCACCGCCCGTGTCATCCCGCCGCCACGCACCGGCCCGGGGGGCGCCGGCCCCGCGGCTCCCCTTCCTCCTCCTCCTCCTCCTCGGCGAGCGTCTCTCCGCAGGGGTGTCCGACCTTCCTCCTCCTCCTCCTCCTCCTCCCGCTGCTGCTGCCGGCCGAGCGGGCTGCGGCTCAGCCTGCGGGGCTCATGGGCTGCCCCGCACACACGCGTGGGCCCCGCGGGGCGGTCACAGCATCCCGCGGCGGCGGGAGCAGCGCCGAGCCCCGGCCGCCGCGCTCCGCACCGGGCTCCGCACCGGGCTCCGCGCTCCCTGCGCTGCGCGGAGGCGCGGTGCGGCGGGCGGAGGTGGTGGTGGGGGGGGGGGGGGTGTATAGGGGGGAGGCTCCTTCTCTCGCTCCTTTTTTTCCTCCCTTCGCTTCTTTGCTAGATGCCCGGGGAGGTGAGAGGAGCAGGATCGGTGCCTCCGCCTCCTGGCTGCAGCGAGCTTCCTCTCTCGCAATACATTCATGCATACGGGGACAGCGCCGGCCCCGCGCTCAGCCTCGCCGCTGGAGCTAAAGACGAGGGGGGGGGGTTGGTGTCGGGGAGGGCTCCCGCTCCGGTCGCAGCCGCAGGATCAGAAAGGCAACGGGGTCAAACTTTGCCCGAACTCGCCCGTTGCTGCTCCGAGCCCCCCGGCGCTCCCCGCCGGCCGCCCGGGCTGGGACCGCCGCATGACAGCGGCCCCGAGCCCGCTGCGCTCCCTGCCCGCCCGTCCTCCCTCCTTCGCCCAGTCCCATCCCTCCTCCCCCTGTATTTCGCTTTTAAACTGCAGCTGTTGAGGCTAACCCTCCTTTGCAAAAAGCAGCATTTCCTCCCACTGCTCCGCGGATTGTGGGTAATGTAGTTTTGGTGAGACATGTCTCCCCACCCCTTCCCTTCCCTTTTCTTTTCCCCAGTGTATTTGCTCTTGGGTTTTCAGCTTAAGAGTTCCCTCTCCCAGCTGGAGCTCGGGTGGTAGATTTGGGAAAGGGGTGGTCTCCTTCTGTGCAAAACCTGTAGCCCTAGGTTGATGGACTGGGTTTCAAGCAGCCAGAAAGGCAGAGCTCTTCATAGCAGCGCAGCGACTGAGGGGCAACTGGAATAGAGCCTTAGGAGCCACCCAAGGCAGCAGCGGCCCGTGGCAAAGTTATAAACTTCTGTAATGGATCATTTCAGGAGTAACGCTGCTGAGGATCCCAACGGCAAGAGCTGAGCACCAGGAGAGGGGTGTGCGTGTCCAGCGTTTTGGTAAGAGCTGCTGTGCATTGAGGGGGATGCAGAACTCCGGGTGTGTGTTTGTTATTATTATTGTGTCCTTTGTGGTGTGCTTCTACGTAGGAAACCCAGGGAACCAAGAGTAAAAACCTCTCTGCCAGTGATGCCTGCAGTGTGCTACAGTGGAGCACAGTGGGGTAAATGTCTTTTATTCATAGAGACATAGGATCAGGAATGGTTTGGGTTGGAAGGGACCTTAAAGCTCATCCAGCTCCAACCCCTGCCACAGGCAGGGACCCCTTCCACTGGAGCAGCTTGCTCCAAGCCCCTGTGTCCAACCTGGCCTTGAACACTGCCAGGGATGGGGCAGCCACAGCTTCTCTGGGCACCCTGTGCCAGCGCCTCAGCACCCTCACAGGGAAGAGCTTCTGCCTAAGAGCTCATCTCAGTCTCCCCTCTGGCAGGTTAAAGCCATTCCCCTTGGCCTGTCCCTACATCCCTTGTCTAAAGCCCCTCTCCATGTTTCCTGTAGGCCCCTTTTCAATACTGGTATATAGTCCTTCCCACCCCGTGCTCTCAACAGGCTCAATGAGCTCACACTGTGCCTGGCATTCTCCAGCACTGTGCACTTGCTGTCTGCCCTCCGATGGGAAGGAGAGACCGGAGCTACTGGGTGATCCTGACAAGCGAATGCCACGGGATGAGGGGAGGCTCTTTTCCACTGCAGCGGGTGAAAAACACCCCATCTATTGCTTTTCTTCTGTGCATTTCTCAAAGGTTTGGCCAAGTATTTCCTTCAAACTTCCCAATGAAGTGCACAATTACAGTCACTAGCCCTGCCACAGCTACAAGAGCCAAGAACACACTCAAGTTACAAGCAACTTACCATCACGTAGTACAAGAAAGAATGGAATGAGCATCTCCAAGTGCAATATCCAGTTGCTTCAGCAGCCTCCAGAAGGTGTTGAAATCCTTTGACATTTCCAAGACTCTTTCACACTTTTCAAACAAGCTTGTCACACTTTCAGAGCATCATGAATCTGGTGAAACTGCGTCTTCAGCACCTCCATTCTCATGAAGCTTCAGCCAGGTTTTGCTTCAACTTGGCTGTCTCTGGTGTTCTGGTCAAGGAGGAAATTGCATTATCTCATTCTAATTAAATCAGATTTTTTACTGCAGATGGAGTTTTCTCTGGGTTTTGGTCGTGCCCGTCCCCATCACGCTGCTGGGAGTGATGAGTGTGGCTGCACTGAGCCCGGTACTAAACGACTCCTGTGCCCGAGAGCATGCTGCTCACTGATGGAATGGTTGGAGAGGTGAGGCCAAGCTGTGACAAGTATGAATTAGGAGTGTCTGGTGATGCTGTGTTGTGTTTCCTTCTGCTCCTTGTTTGATGAACCTGCCCATGTCTCACTGTAGCATGGCCGTGCTCCATTCCTCCTATTATTACCCCCAGCACTGTGCCTCCATGTCCTTCCAGCATGGTTTCCTGGTTTATGGAATTGCAGGATCTGCTCTTCACCATCTGATCAGCAACACATACAAGCGGCCCACTGGAGGCTACGCTGTGCTGTGCTGATGGGCCTGGCTGGATCTGCTGCCTGTGCCATGCACACTGCAGAATATCACATTTCACTTTGGCCAAGCTCTCTCTTTTTCACCCCCAGAACAATCCCACCCAGGAACACCATGGGTTTGCTTGCAAGCACTTTGGCTGCAAGCTCTGCTTCTTGACCAGGCACTGCTGGAGGCTGGGATGCACCAACACTGACGGTGAATCACAGAGAAAGGGGATGTTGCTGCCCTTCCCATCCCACCCCATCTCCAGCCATCCATGGGGACTTGTGGCAGGCACCCCGGGACTGCAGCACAGGACACTGCAGGGTGACCGGGAGGCAGGAACACAGTGAGGCTGAGGGAGCTGGGTGCATGATGCACGCCAGATTTGTCCATGCGGATTTGTCCGTCCGGGCATTCTCCCAGGTGATCCGTGTGGATCGGGTGTCAGGCCTGGAATAGCCCTGCTGCAGCAGGAAGCCTGTCTACAAGCTTAGCAGGGATATTTATAAACCCTGGGGTTTGTGGCTGTGTTGTGAGCAGTGCAGCAGGACGGTGCTCATCATGGTCCCAGTGCAGGGACTGGGGCGGTTTCCTTCCCAAGCTCGGTTTCCCTGGCTGGATCCGGTGCTGACAGTCCACCCTGCTGCAGGAGAGCCCAAATTGCTTTCCTTTCCCACTGCCCTTTTGACAGGGGTTTGCTGGTGCTGCATCCATCCCATGCGACCCTTCCTCCTCCATCCCCTTCCCGCTGGGGACTCGGGCTGGGCTGTGATGCTGGACTCTCAAAGGGAGGCTGGGGCAGCTCTGTGTGTAAGGCAGGGAAATTCCCCTATATCAGCATCAGCAGAAGAGACAGGCACCAGATTAAATTAACTCCCCGGGCTTTCAAGGTACTTTTTACCCTGTGACATGCTCAGTAATAGCTCAGCATCCTGGGCACTGGACTGGACAGAGGGAGGGATGATTCTCCCTCTTTCTGTAGGCTTTCTGTGCCTGTGATGTTTGCAAAGAGCCCCACACAGCAGCGGCCCTGCATGGAGCTGGAGAAGCAGGGCACCCATCCAGCGGGGAGGTGATGTCTGGAGCCAAGCTAAAGCGGTGATGATGGTTATCTCCTCGGCTCATGGCAGGTGGGTCGAGATTTACCACATGCCTCGGAGCCGGGCAGCGGGATGAGGGCAGGCAGATAGGGACAGGGTGCTGACTGCCCTGATAACGTGAGAATGCTGCTGAGCAGACAGTGACCAGACAGGAGCTGGTGGGTGTCGGGGATGTGACAGTGCCAAGTGGTACCCGAGCTGAAGGGGGTTGTGGTTTATGGGCTGCCTGGGGAGGGGGGCAGCTCTTCCTCCAGCTGGAATCATCACAGATGAGGGGTAACTTCCTAGAGGGTGTGATTCAGAGACGAATTGATGCGATTTTCCCTTGAGAAAGGGAAATATGAGCAAACCCAGGAGCTCCTCAGGACCTCTGGCACTTGTTCGGCCAAGCATTGCTCTCGCCTCTGGTCAGTCGGTCAGTCAGATGGACAAGGGCTGGATGCATAATTCTCACAGAGGGTTTGAAGAGCTATGGATTAAAAGTGCAAAGAAAGTGCAAACTTTTTCTTACTGTCTTAGGAAGCCAAGAGCCACCCCTCAATTAGCACCTCACTCTGTTGTAGTTTGGACTGTTAAAGACACCTGGGTGCCTGATTCCCTGGGTTACCTGTCCAAATACTGACCTCCGCAACTGGGTGTTTGTGTAGGCAAACGTCACTGTCACCGAGAGATGCGCCTGTTCAGCTCCTCGGTGCAATACTCATCCTCTCCACTTCTCTGCCCACGGGGGATTTCCAGCCTATGTGCATAGGAATAATCGTGTTTCTCAGGCGTGTGGGTTGCGTGGAGCCGTGACAGCTCCTTGCCCAGGGAAGGTAACCTGCCTGTCACCCGCTTTCAGCCTGGGATGTGCGATGCTGGATGACACGGCACAAGCGTGCGGTATTGAGGCCATGCTCAGCGCTGGGGGCAGGAGGATGGGAATTCATTTGTGGTGCCGTGTCTCTTTTAATCAGGAGGCAGGTGATGCTTCTCTTTGGTCCAGGAACGGGGTGAGTGATGGGAGATGCTGCGGGGGTGCATCCTGAGCGGGAAGGGAGGATGGAGCTCGTGATGCTTGAAAGGTACCCATAGAGGGAGAGGAAGGTGGTGTTTAGGGTGCCCTTGCGGGGGGGGGAAGATGTTGCAGAACAGATAAATCAAGAAGATACCCAGGTAGAATTCCTTGTGGGAAAGCCCCTAATCAACACCCAGCCTTGGAGCTTGCAAAGCCAGGCTGCACAGCACACAATAGGAGCAGTGCTAGCTGCCATGGGGAGAGGGGATGCTGTGATCTCCTCCAGTTCCTTCTCTCTGATACAGAAATGTGAATTGCCGTGCCTAAAAGAACTACACTTCCCAGTTTCCCTTGCAGCCCAGGGGAATAAGCAATTGGAAGATTTAAATAGACCAGGCCAGAAGCAACCAACCTTTGGCACAACGCTTTTCCCTCCTCTTCTTCCAATCTATTGGCTGTTTAACCTTTTTCCCTGGCACTGGAGTGGCTGCCAGGCCTGGCATTAATTCTCCTTCCAAGCTTGCTAGGCCCGTGAAGTAAACAGCCATGTGCATTCCTTACTCTATATTTAACAGCTGCAGTCTGTGCTGGGGGGCAACTGCAACAGAGGGGAACCTTTGCAGCTTCCCAAATTCACGGCTTGTGAGGGTGGGAGTGGGGGAAGCTTCCTGCAGGGAGAAGAGGGATTTCTCTCCTTCCCGGTGTTTGCAGAGCAGGTTGCGTTAAAGAGAGACTGCAATGCCAGCATCCCAGCCGCGGTCCAGGGCAAGAGACAGGAACAATGTCCTCAACAGGGCTGAGTTCCTCTCCCTGAATCAGCCCTTGAAGGGGACCCAGGAGAACAAGGGCTCCGGCAGAAAGCAGAGCGGCCAGGCCGGAGGAGCTGGTACCCAGAGCAGCAGCCCCAAGGAGCGGAGGCAGTCGCAGCAGCTGCCCGAAGAGGACTGCATGCAGCTCAACCCCTCCTTCAAGGGAATCGCCTTCAACTCCCTGCTGGCCATCGATATCTGCATCTCCAAGAGGCTGGGGGTGTGCGCCAACACAGCCTCCTCCTGGGGTGGTGCCCGCTCCATGATCAACCTCCTGGGGATAACGGGGCACGGCATCCCCTGGATCGCGGGGACGCTCATCTGCCTGGTGAAGAGCAGCACGCTGGCAGGCCAAGAGGTCCTCATGAACCTGCTGCTAGGTGAGTGGCAAACCTCCCTCCCCACCGGGAGAGCCCAGCCCTGGTCACAAGGGGCAGCAGCAATGGGACTCCTCCTCTGCCTGCTCCCAGCCACCGGTGTGGTTGGGAAGCAGGGAGTGACCTTTAGGGTGAATGCTGCACGTATTGGCTGTCTCGGTCATGGGTACCATGGGTGATGGGTGTAGCAAAGAGTTGTCTGAGAGGGAGCGAGGAATCCTGGTAGCTGGTGGTACCCATGGAGTAGGGGCAGGTCCTCAGTCCTGCACGGGACAGGCTTGTCCAGTCAGATCAAGGAAGTGTCTGTGATGTGCAGGTGTATACCAGCAGCCATGTCTGTATTTAATCTAGGGTCATCTGCATCGGTGGTTTGATAGGTGGGAAAGCGTAAAGATTCGAATCTTTGATACGTGGATCAATTCCTGAAGATATCCTTGAGGAAAAGGTGTTCCCAGACCCTGGTTCACATCTCAGCCACCACGTGATGGAGTCCTGTCTCCTTCCCTGCTGCAGTTTGATCTTGTCTCGGCCTTCCCTTGAGGACCTTTCTTGCTGCTGTCCCATTTCCGTGTGCTAATTTGACCCAGAGGCTGTGCAGGTGGGCTGGGATCTCTCTGCCTTTCCTGCTAGTCCTCCTTTGCGTGGTGGTCAGTGTCATTGTTTCTGGAGGTTGGGATGTGTTAAAGGAGTTGCCTTCTCAGTTAAGCAGGGCCCGTTCCACCTGTGTGGACCAATGCCCCACCAGTGACCGTGCTGAGCTCTAGGCATGACTTCCCTTAGATCCTGGCCCCAAACCGCCCTGGCCATGTCTATCTGAGGACCTTGCTCTTCTTGCTCTTCTGCTTTTGGCATGGTGCTCAGTTATCATGTTTTTCCTTGTGACTAACTGCTATCTCATCTGGCTGGGATCCACCCGAGTGTTTCACCCTCTCCCAAAACCAGCGATTGGATCTCCCACTTTTGGTTGGTAAGAGAAATTAAAAAACATTGGATTTAGGCCTTTGCTTCTCAGGGATCCTTTTGAGAAGACATAGGGACCTTGTATTTCAGAGGCGCCCCAGGTAAGGGACCACTGCGACGCAATGTGGGCTCTGCAGCATGGCCCCAAGCTTTTCTTTCTCACAAGCTCACCTGAACTGGCTTGCAAAGCACAGTGGTGCCTTTTCTCCCCTCTTGCCTTTGAAAGAGCCCGTCCTTGTGCTGTGACATCTAGAGAAGGGAGGCCATGGCAGGGAAGCAGCCAGAATAGCATCAGCGTGATGCAGAGCCCGCTGATGTCAGCAGCTCTTCCAGGGGCTCCTCGGTGTGCTGGGTCAGCCTCTCGCTGAGAGAAGCTCCATTTAAAAGGGCACGAGGATGAAATAGGAGGTGACGAACGTCAACGGGCACCGTGTCCAGATGTCTCTTGACCTGAGAGCCTTTGATGGTCTTGGAGCATGAAAACTGACCTCTTTGGCTCCAAAATATTTGAGGTCCTTATAAAGCGCTAGTGCCACCTTTGGCTTAAAAACAAGGTAGGTTTTCTCACCCTTCTGTTGCCATCTGTGGAGGCCAAATGCGAAGCCACCTCTGGGGCACATAGGAACTTTGAGTATCAGGTGGTCGCTGGGAGAGCTCAGCCCTGCACCACTGCTTGGGTCTCAAACGTGGTGACTCGACAGCTCCATGGAGAGCTCCAAAGAGCAGCCTCCAAATCGCTCCTTTTTGCCCTCCAAGCGGACAGCACTGAGCAAAGCACCCTGAGCCTCTGTTGTCAGAGCTTCCTCTGCAGGACTCGTGTCACCCCACAGAGCTCATCTCTGCGTGGCCTTGGTTTGATATTCCAGATTGCAGTCAGAAACTCCGAGTATCCGAGTAGCTGCTGGGGTAATATCTGCATTGCTGATGGAGGAAGGAGCCTGGCTGTGGAGCGTGGCTCTGGGGGACCCAGGCAGAGCCCATGAGAAGTGGGGTCTTGTGTAGGTAGGAAGGGCATGACACAGCTGCTGCATCTGGCATCCTCGATCCCTCCCGCTGCTGTTTTCCTATGGTTCACATCCATCAGGATGTGCTGTCAAGTCCTTCTGGGCAGGGACAGCCCAAAGGGAAGGGAACCTCCTGATGCTTCCCTGGTCTCTGGGGAAGAGGGAAGCGGGGAAGCCGGTGCTGTCTGTGGTGCCCCTTCCTCACCTCCCCTGTCTGTGTTCCCTTCCCCCTGCTTGCTGAGGGTTTCATACATCAAGCAGAATTTCTGATGCAGTCTCTGGGCAGGGAGCCAGCCCATCACAGAGCACTTGTTTAGGATGTGCAATCAGGCTTTCAAGGCGAGGAGACAGGAGACTGCTGGAATGGGACCGGGAACCTGGCAGAAGCATCACTGCAGATGGAGGGGGGGCACTTGCGCCCGAGGAGCTCTTGCCAACACATGTGGGAGTATTTTGGGTGAGGGGGTCTGACGCCGGGCTGCTCCATCCATCCCAACTGCAGATGTTGATCAGCAACCCCAAAGCAATGTTTTCCCTCCGTGTTTGCCATCTGTGATGGAATCTATCGATTCTCCTTGTCAGCCCTCCCAGCAAATGCCAAACAGCCAGAGGAGCACGTTCACGAGTTGCTGCCGAAAAGATGGAAGGGATCAGATATCTGTGCCCACTGTACAAAATCCCTCTGCCAGAATGTGCTTTCAGGAAGACTCTATCGGCACTGCCAGCCCTGGCTGTTGAAGAGTCAGGAAGAAAGTCTGCACCCCTCAGCCAAACGGAGGAAATCAGGAAACCCCCACTTTTAGAGTTCATTTTATTTGAATCAATGACTCAAATTGGAACTTTCAGGGCCTTCCAAGCTCTCCTCTGCAATCACAAGGTTTTCATGAACACGGAGTGCTCAGAAAATCATTTGAACCTTGCAATAGGTCTTTCAGGGGGAAAACAGATGTAAAGCTTGCACTGAAATTCCCAACCTGCTTCAGAACCAGACAGAAACTCCACCGAACGCTGGGGGAAGCAGTGCCTTGGTGTCTGGTTCTGATCCATCTGGTGAGGATGTGGATCCAAATTTAGTGATTCATTGACTGTAAAGCCAGTAAAGAACATTTGGATCATCGATCTAACCCAAGGCAAAATACAGGCTGGAGCACATCCCTTAATTTATTCCTGTTCAATTTGTTATGGGGAAAAACCCAAACACTCAATCTGATGTACAATTACAAGTGAGGGTGAACTTGTCAGAACTGTTTCTGTATTACTGCAGTGGTAGGGATGCTCACAAGCGCCTTCCTTTCAGTTTGACTCTTCCCTTCACTGCATCTGCATACCCTCGCCTCTCCAGCTGAATAGCTCTTTTAGCCAACATCTCTTCTGCCTTTCAATATTTTGGATAGTGCTCAAGTCATTTCTTCACCTCCTATTTATTAAGCTGAACAGATTGATCTTCTTGTTAGAATGATGATCTTTCCAGGTCCAGGCTACCTTCTTGCTCTGATGGAATATGGTCATCTATCCAAAGTGGTCATTCCAGTGAAGTCCACCTATTGTGTTTAGAGCCAAATAACCGCCTCATTTAGTTATCTGCACTCCAGCCTTGTGCCTTTGCTGGCAGAAGGTATCTGCTTAGTTAACCCTCGCATATAAAATACATATTCATGCTCAGTTTGAAATACCACCATTAACTGGTTCTGCTTTGCTCACAGCTTGCTGAAATAGGCATTTAGATGAGGAGAAAAGAAAGCTCCAGTCACCCCTTTGCCTGTTGTCTCAGTGACACAGGTCCTGGTCCTCCACCATCACCAGCTGGCTCTGCGTCCCTCTTCCAAGGGGCGGGTTGGCTCTTTGGTGCTGTCACTAAGCATTTATTGCCATGAAGTAAAGCAGTGCTGTAGGGTATGGACGTAGCACCATGAACGAATGACACAGGAGGAGGAAAGAAGGGGAGCCCAGGGTCACTTCTCCTCTCCTAAAGGTCAGTGAGGAGGCAGTTCTTGCTCTCTTCAGCCTTCTCCCTGAATACTGACCTAGTTTTAGTCTGCCTGGGAACCAAGCCATGATATTCTGAGGCATAGTCCCCTGCAGACTTTATCCGAAGCCATATATGTATTCATGTTTAAATATATATGTATTTATAAATACATATACAGGTCCAGGACTCTGCAGTCCCACCCCAGAAGCTTCCAAGCAAGACCAGGTTGGTAGGAAAGGCAGGAGAGACAGCAAGAAATGCCTTCTCCAGGCCCCTTGAGCCCCTGCTGACCCTGCTTTAACAATACAGAGGTGCTTCAGGTATTGTCACTGGAGGCCATGTGGTGAAAACACAGATAGTAAAGCCCATTGCTGCTAAAGGTCACTGAGTAAATTAAGTGCCCAGGCAGCACAGACAAGTTCATCCTGTTGATGAGCATCATCATGATGAACATCGCTAAGCCGAGAGCCCCGGAGGTGGTTTGGGGCCAGATGTGTCTGTTTGCTCCCCTTTAATTTTCCCCCTGTGAGGCTCAGGATTTCCTGAGCTAAGCAGGGCAGACGATGCTTTGGCAGGGAGGGGGAGCCGGTGTCCTGTGTGAACCATCCCTCCTTGTAAAACCCGGCCCAAGGAGGAGGTCCAGCCCCTGCCCAGTGTGCACTGAGACCTCAGCAAGTTTGCTGCACATCTGCCCAGTTTAAATGTCAGGTAACCCAGTATGACTGAACCATGGCCAGGCAGAGGGAAGGACACAGATGCCCGCTCTCTGCATCCAGCATCTAGACAGAGGTCCAGCCTGGCATTAAATACTCCATCACATCAGGCTGCTAACCTGCCTCTAGTTGTCCTGCCCGGATACAGCAGTTATCTGGTCCTTTGGTGGTGCCATCCTCACCCTTCATCACCCTCAAGGCTGATGAGCTCAGGCATCCCTGAACAGCAAGTGATGCTCAGCTCTCCCAGCTTCCCTGCCCCCCTTCCCTCTCCTTCCCTGCCTGCTTCCTCTATAGCAAATGTATACTGTTCACTGCAGGGCAGGCTTGTGAGTCTGCAGTGTCCCTTCAGATGAA